TCTCTCTGTCTCTCTCTCTCTCAATCACTCACTCACTTGTTCACATACACAAATTGTAGACAGATGGAGGCATATTTAATCCTAAGGTACCTACACTGCTAGTTTGTCTTTATATCTTTGGGATAACAGAGCCTTACAATTTGAGATTGTCAAGGTGCTTCTCTGTCAATCTTATCACCTGTTTTCTAGGAACCCCAACTGCTGGTCAAGCCTTGAACGGAGCTGTAGTGAACCAGCTGCTGTATGTCAGAAGTCAAATAGAGCGCACAGCTTCAGCCACTCTAGCCCATCTGCCGCAGCCTGTCACCAATACCCTCCTGCAGGTGAGGGTATTGCCCTTTGTTTGGTTCAGTCTCTTTTAAACATATAAAGTTGCATATTCTTGGTGGATGTAACAATCTTCATCTCCAAACTTCTTTTTACTATATTTGATTTTACTTCAATATATATCTTATTCAGAATTACATATTTGTAAAGTTCATAAACTAGGTCTTTGCATTTTTGTATGTGGTATTAAATATTTCAAAGAATGGCCTGTAAAACTTTCTTCTTTTTTTGTTAGGCTCTTCCACCCATAGATGCTCTCATGGCCTCTGCAGTGCAACCCCTCTTTCTGTCCATTACACAAGCAGTAGAGGCCATCATTCTCACAATGCATAATGAGGACTTTTCTGGGTGAGTTACTTCAGTGTGTTTGCCAATTTCTGCTTACAAATATTTCTTCACTATTAGCATCTCTATTTTTATTTATTGGATTCATTTGCTCTAACAGTTCATACAGAATGATATTTGTTGCTATTGTTTTTTAGAGGAGATACAGGTGGCAGTGACTCACAGTGTTCGCTCTACATGAAAGAGCTCCAAGGGTTTATCAACCGAGTAGCAACGGATTATGTTGCTATTTACCAGCCTTCGGCAATTATAAAGGAAAAGTAAGCACAGGATTTTGGATACATATGTCTTGATGATGATTCATATTCATATGTATTTTTCATTACATTCATTTTAAGTTGGATCCTTTTCTGTAATAATTATGTTAACTAATGCAAATGCTGGTTTTTGCAGTGTGCATATGCTAGCATGCAGGTGCTTAGAATTATTTGTACGTCATGCAAGTCTGTTGCGTCCAATAGGAGATGGTGGAAAACTGCGACTGGCAGCAGACTTTGCCCAGGTTTGTAAGCACTTTGGATTCTAGAATTTGTAGGATGGTTTGATATTTATATTATGACACATTGTGGTTTTCTATATTTTTGTTGCTATTCATTGATTTAAGTAAAATAAACTCCATGACTAATGTTACTAGTTTTCCCTGACTCAAGTTTAATTCACTCAATTTAAAAAATTTTATAAGGAGGGGGCACAGTGTTTGTATTCACACTCTCTATCTTATCTCCCAGATGGAACTGGCCATCAATCCTCTGTGCAGCCGTCCATCAGAGCTGGGCAAGCCATACCGCATTGTGAGGACCTTCCGACCGCTGCTATTCCAGACGACAGACCACATCAGCGCTTCACCCAGCATTGGAGATGTCATTCCCTACTCGGTCATCCTGCACTTCTTGTTCGCTAAGGCTCCTCCGGAACTTAGGTCTCCGCATCAGGTACTATTTTGCATTGGTGAACAAGTTTAAATGTCTGTAGTACTATAAACATTATTGTTTGCTTGAATCATCACGTACATTAAAGATTTATGTTTTTGGGTTTATTTAGATTTTAGTAGATATGAAAATTGACCATCTTATTACTAAAACTGATTTTCAATTTTAATTTTAGCACTTGGTAGAATCAAAGATATGGAGAGTTACTAACCAAAAAAAACTCTTTTGCCTTTAGACTGCAGGATGGTCGGTCAGCAGGTATAGCAACTGGCTGGATGAACATCGTGATGAGCGAGAGAGATTGCAGCTTGTGAGAGGTGCCCTGGAGGCGTACGTAGCCAATGTCAGATCACGCAACCTCACACAGTTCGCCCCAGTATATCCTGTCATGCTCAAACTCTTAGAGAGAGGGATGAGTGCACATGGAATGTCAAGTACTTCTTAGGTATGAAAGTGTTTGAAGTTTAGGGCTATAGGTTTTCTGATCTGTGTTATATATTTTATATTTGACTTATAGTATGGGTGTCTGTTTAGTCTTTGTAAAGCTTGTGAAGGTTTTATGCTGAATGAGCACTTGTATATTAATTTATTGTTATTATTATTTTATTTTATTTTATGATCCAGAACTCGAGCAAGATTTTTGGAATATATGAATGCTTTTGTTTGATGATTGCACAATGCAGGTATTTGAATCTTAGATCTAAATTTTTTTGTTATGAAGTTAAGAGATTAAAATATGATGAAGCATGGCATTATTTTTAACCATCAGTTGAGCTCCAGATGATGGATAAACAGTTAATGGTTGAAACAAATATATATGCCAGACATCAAAGGTCAAATAGCGCTATGGTCAAGTATTGCGGTGAAAAGGGTAAAGTTGAGTTAAAGATTAGGATGAAATGTGTTAGATGTCAAAGATTAGAGGGTTATAGAATTGATATTATGTGATTATATTAGGAATTTATTTAGAAAAAATGTGGTGTGGTTATTTAAAACTTCGTGCTCATCTTTCTGAGAATATATAAAATATGTAACAATTTGAATCGTTTATGAAAATGTTCAAGTTTGAGAAGCTACCACGGTAGTTTATCTGATCTCGCTCAACCATTCACATCCTGATCTGCAATGTCTTATGATCAAAACAGACCAATACCATAATTTGTAAACCTATCTTTGTTTTATTTCATTTTCATTTGCCATCATTCAGATTTGAATGTGTCAAATGTATACAAGTAAAGGAACAGAAGAGTGAAAATTAGATGCTAACTCAAGAAAAATGGACAAAGTTTCCAGTGTACTAGTTTTCTTATTTTAGTTCACATAATTCTGACAAGTCTTCTTGCTGTATTAGCTCCCTTCTTGACGAACTTTCCAGACCACTTGGAATGGTAGCCCAGCAAAATTATGGGGAATGTTCACCTTGATTTCACATATCAAATGTGCTTATGTATAAGGACAAATAATAACACACAAGAAAGGAAAATGTACATTTATTAGTGGAAATTTCTCCTGCTGATACCAACAATACCTCCACTTCCTGCTCATTCGCTGTCGACTCCTTTATTACAAACTCGTTTTCTTATATTTCCAGGTCCCGTTGCACAAGAAGATATTACCTAGCATATGATTTTTTTTATTTTTTTATTTTTTATATATATATTTTTTTAGTGGGGGAAAAGACATGATAATACAACTGCCTCTATGTCAGTACACTTATCCACTTTACCATAGTTACCCTATTATGGAGCATACTTACAATACTTTCATACTTAAAACATTAGAGAGAGAAAAAAATCAGGAGGAAATTCTGTACAATTGTTTTTGTGTTCCATGTATAACAATTTAAAACAGGAAAATAAAAGAGAAAAATGTTAAATAAGTAAATATTGCCCACTGTTCAACAAGTCTAATAACTTTATTATCTCGGCTTAAAAGTCAATATAACGATCAAAGTCTTTGAATATGCAAGTGAAATGTTTAGACAATACAATATATGAACACTGTTCTTATGAAACCTTCATACCAGCCATTTCATAAATGATTTCTATATTGGGGAAAAAAAAAAAAAAATCACATACAATATTATACATACAACAGTTATTGTGCATCATCTTGCAGACTAAAAAGGCGGCTTATTATTGTCCTGTATGGATTTTCTGTCAGAATTTGCATATATCTTAAATATCCAAAAATATTTGTATTTCCATATGGTATTAAAAGTAATAATTTGACAATAAAATCACTTGGTATTATAATATATACATTTAAGCTATCCGTTGGCATTGTCTAATTTCAGCCATACAATACTAATAAGATGCTGCATTAAACTTTTTTTTTTTCCCTTTATGTAATAATTTTGAGACAAACACTTTTGTTCCAGTATAAATCAGTAATAATACACAGGAAGTCTGCATGGTGGTATAATTAACTGTCAGTCAGTGTCATGTTCAGGTTATTAATCCGCACAGGGGCTTGTAAAACTTTGCTTGTTTATTTTTATATGGCCACTATATACTTGTCTTGTAAATGTGGTGTCCATATGTATGATGCAAGATAGGTTATGAAATATATATATATATATATATATATATATATTTACAAGTGAACCATGGCAATAATTTTTGAAGACAAAATTAATTTATCTATTACTGATTTCCTTACTTAGCAAACAAAGTAAATAAAATGATTAAAAAAAAAAAAAAAAAAAAAAAAAAAAAAAAAAATGAATGCTGTACTACATGGTCTGAATCATATCTTCTTACATAAACACAACCTAAACCTTACTCAACTTACAGCAGATAATAAAGACATTTCACCAGTTGCTAAAACTCCCTCCCTATTAAACAACTTCTCATCCCCTCCCACCCTCCCCTTGCCACTTTCCATGGATACGATTCTTGCAAAATAAAAAAAATACTATACTACCAAGTTCAGATGTGAACACTATTCTGTGCAAATCTGCCTGATATGCAGTCCAAGTTGTTCATGAATTTGTACATATATACCATTACCAAGGGAAAGATTTTTCTTCTTTTGAAGAGAAATAGTGAATTAAAGTTTAGTTCTAAACAATTCCTTGAAAGTGAAAGAACTGACAAAACAGGAAAAAATAAAATAAAACTCAACAACTATGGCTTACATGATATATCCTACACAATGAGAAAAAAAATGAGCAATCAAATACCTGATATTCTATTTGTCAACTTGCTATCAAACAGCACCATTTTTTACAGATTGTTTTGAAGTATTACAGAAAAGAAGGAAAAATGTTGTAGTGAATACAAAAAGTAGTTTGGATGCCCTCAATGATGTATTCTATAAAACACAGTTTATTCTTTTGTGCACATGTATGTTATTGCATCTACACTGAAGTGTCCATGACTGTGAAGATTAATTAGGTCCACATTATGAGAAAGAAAGAAAAAAGAGTGTATAAAGAGAACAACAAATAGGAAGAGATCGAGAGAGTCCATAAAATAAAATATAAATATTCAACAAGTAAAAAGAGACAAAACATTTTTTGTATGATAAAAAAGTTCTTTAAATTTGAGGACAGTACATATAAAAATACAAAATATATCAATACCACAACATAAATATAGGAAAGTCCTGCCTTAGTCCATGTGTTGGTATTTGCACATACACCAGAGAAACTGAGACTTCTTCCAGCTATACATCAATACTGCAAGGTAAAGAACAAGGTAATAATACCAGTCCCATGCAATGTATGTGAAAATGTTTGTTTGTAAGGATGTATATACGTATGTATATATATCTCGCACGCACGCACATACTCACTCTCACTCACACACTAATACACACAATATTCACACTAATAAACACACACACTCACTCACACTCATACACACATACTGACACTCATTCACACACACACACACACACACACTCACACTCATTCACACACACACACACACACTCACTCATGCACACCCACACTCATACACATACACATTCACTCACAATCATACACACACACTCACACTCTCTCTCTCAGTGTGTGTGAATGTGAGTGTGAGTGAGAGTGTGTGTGTGTGAGTGAATGAGTGAGTGAGTGTGTGTTTCCAGGTGTGCGTGTGTGAGCATGTGTGTGTGTGAGAATAATGTACATGTTTTTGTGAGCATGTGTGTGTGTGTGTGTGTGAATATACATGTTTTTGTGAGCATGCATGCACCATGCGTAAAAACAAATACAAACCCAAGTGAAGTTGAAGAAAGAAAATAACAGCAGATGGCACTTCTGCCTTCGTCCTCATTTCTTTGAATCCCATTTTTGACATTTCAATAGCCAGACCAAGAGACATAACAAGAACAATAAAACCGATTTAAAGCAAAGTATAACGCGTTAACATAATATGGAAGACCAATCAAAATGAGCTTGGAAAGGTACTCATCTTTTCCCAGGAAACATTTCCATTTAAAATATCTTTATAAGAATAAAAAATATACTCACATGCCAAATGCTCTCAGAAAAAGGATTCCCTTCATTAATCCGAGACAAGAATCTATCAACACTTTTTCCTAACTCCATGAATCTTTCTTGTAGGTATTACCATCTCTTAAATCTCAACATTAAATAAAGAAAACAAAACTTGGGTAAATATGTGAGTATCTAATTTTCTCACACATCTACTCAACAACTGCCATTTTAAAATCACTCAGAAATCATTCAATAAGGAACTCTAAAAGCAGTACATATCACAAATACAAAAGATCTTTCTAGAACGAAAATCTTTCTTGGTTATCTTAAATTTAACCAAAATCTGTTTGCTTTCACTCCCCAGTCTAGATCATTAAAAAAAATTAAAAAAGTATGTAGCTTTAACAGCAACTTGCCAAAGAAGAAGACTGCGAAGCTTCTTTGCATCCCAGAGCCTTCGTTTCACCTCGACTCAGGAACAGACCATTTGTGCTACCTTTGTTATTCCGTCCCAGCACATTTACCGTGACTGGCTTCATGACAGGCAAGTCATGGCATATCAATCTCAGCCATATATTGCAGGACTTTGCACTGGCATAACCAATGCTACTTAGCAATTCAGAGCATAATCACAGTACGAAGATTCATCCAACTTAACAGCTATTACACCCATCACTTTAGTTTTTGTGTGTTTCCTCCAACCTCATCGCAATCTGTATCTGCTTTGTGTTTCTATTATAAAGAAACTTTATAACAAAAATAAGATGCATAACAACTTTATACCAATGCAAGTTATCATATTACTTCTGTGAATTTGAGCTTGCCCACATTTGGCACAACAATTTAAAGTAAGACAAAGGAATTAAAAAGCATATTTTCCTTAAAAAATACCATGACCTCTTGAAAAACAAATCAATTTTGAGGACACAAAGGTAAACTGCATAAAACTACAACAAATTTAGTTAGTCATACCTTGGGTGACAAACATCCCTATTCATGAACAAATAAGGCAACAAACATCATTTCCAAACAATTTTGCTTTGACTCACGAACGATGCTTTGATGTGTGAACACAGAAACACACAAGCTTCCATATCACATGGGGCATATGGCAGCATCAGTTGTGTACCACAGAAAAAACAATAGGCAGTTGTCTAATGTTATTATAGAATAGGACTATCCCTTGAAGGAGGGCCCTTTAACGGAGTGGCCTTCCTCCTCCTCTAGTCACGCGAGCTAGCAACCATCAATCACAAAGGTAAAGTGTAAGTTTTATTTCAGTATAACTGTATTTTTCTATAAATAATGATGTCATTAATTCTTTTTTGTATTTTTTTCACACAAACACATAACACAAACATATGTCTGGGGCAGGTGTATGGATTAATTGGATCTACATTAATTTCAATGGGGAAAAAATAATTTGGTTTACAATCAGAGTCAAAGAGCAAATGAAGTTCGTAACCCGAGGTACCACTGTCTTTTAATTCAGGTATACAGAAACTGAGAAATATGAAGGATAAAAGAGACTGTGCCAATTATCTTCATCATCATATTACCTATCCAGGTTCTGATATATGTATATAAAATGCTTTTGAGATAACAACAGGATCCAGATTTACAATAAATTAAAATAAGCAAATAAAAATGAGATGGTTTATGCTTCTAGGCACCTGTTCCCTTGATAACCCAGTCAGCAGTTCAGTTTCCCTGCTATTACTTTTCAACTCCT